GGCACAAGGAAGGGGCTGAAGCAGTGCATTTCCATGCTAGGGATTGTGGGGGGGGGGGCTGAGAATAAATAAAAGAGCCAGCGGGGTCTTGATGCCCGTGCGTGGATCTGCAGTGTGGCCCCCTGTGGAATACTGTGCGTGCCCACCAGGGTCTGGTGGCGGATCTATTGACTTATTTATTTATTTAATCTATAACCCCGCCCTCCTCGCCGAGGCAGGCTCAGGGTGGCTTATACACATAAAATAATACATAAGTAACAGGTTAAGATCCACACAAGATCATCTGGAAACAGTCCAATTAAAACAATTCAATATCAGTAGGTGCTAGCGAAGACTAATTAAATACTTTAGGCATCGGAGTGCTGTGGAGGAAGCACCAAGCAGGCAGCCCAACAGAGTAAAGTGTTGGATCATCTCCTCCCTGAGGGAAGCTGAAGAGTTTGGGGCTTTTGAATTTAGAAAGAAGGAGGACATAAGAACACGAGAGAAGCCCCTCCAGCCCCACACTCTCTGTCTGCCACACAGGGGCCAGAAACACCATCAGGTGCCGTCAGGAGGTCCGGCAGTGGGGCCAGGAGGACACTAGAGGCCCTCCCACTGTTGGGGTCTGGGAGAAAATGGGGTGGAGAAAGTGGATAGTAAGAACTTTTCTCCCTCCCCCATCGCGGCAGTGCTCAGGTGCACCCAGTGAAACTGGTGGGTGGTGGGGCTTCAGGAAGGACCCCTTCGCACAAGGCATAGTCAACTCCCAGAATTCACTGCCGCAAGACGTCGCGGTGGATGCTAGTTTAAAAGAGGGCCAATAAGCCCATTCCTGAAGGACACACCCATCCGTGTGACGGCTGTCCTTAAGGACTGACTTGGGACCTCCTTGGCTCAGCGAGAGAGTGAGAGAGAGAGCGGGCCTCTAGATGGCAGTTGCTGGGTGGCCAGGCCCCTGCCTTGCAGGCTTGTTGGACACGAGGGCCCCCTTTCCTCCTGACTGAGCAGGGTTTGACTTTGGATTTTCCGTTCTTGGCTCGGCTGCCTCCCTGTGCTCTGTGCTCACTCTGGGGTCTGTGCCCGGAGTGTTTGTGGTGGTGACTTTTCTTGCGCTCTAGCTGCCTTTCATCTGACTGGCGATGACCCTGTCGCCTGCCGTTCCTGCGGACTAAGGGTCCGCTCACTGAGGGTGGTGAGCGAACGTGTCAGCCCACCCCCACCCCCTGCGGCGTTCTGCTTACGGGAAGCTGGGCGTCTGGGAGAAGGCGCGGCTAGAGTCACTCCCGTTGGGGAGTCAGAACTAGCTCCTGATTGGCCTCTGGAAGACGCTGCCCTTTCCCTCCTCCTGCGGCACAGAACTGGGACAGGCTGGCTTAGATCCTGCCATTTTCTAATGAAGACTTAGTCGTTTCTCAGAACGCTGTTACTTGCCTTAAGGTCCTAGAAATGGGAAGAGTGCACATGGAACTCTGTCTCCTAGGAACCTTCTGACAGATGTCATGCTGTTTGTGGCAAACAGCGTTGTCTGCGTGAGCCAGTTTGGTGTGGTGGTTAAGAGCAGCAGACTCTAATCTGGGAGAGCCAGGTTTCATTCCCCACTCCTCCACATGCAGGCAACTGGGTGACCTTGGGCCAGTCACAAGTTCTCTCAGAACTGTTCTCTCAAGAGCAGTTTCTCTCAGAGCTCTCTCAGCCCCACCTACCTCACAGGGGGCCTGTTCTGGAGAGAGGAAGGGGATTGTAAGCCACTCTGAGACTCCCGAGTGAAGGGTGGGGCATAAATCCTCCTCAATCTTCTTTGTGGTCTCTGTGCATCACACCCTTGGGATAGTCTGCGCCTGCGCTGACCCTATTCGGTATTGTTAGCAAGCCAAAGGGATTTTCGCGCCCACTCCTAGGTCACGTGCTGGGCTCCACTGCGCGTGACCAAGGAGAGGGGCACGCAGATCGCGCAAGTTCTTTTCTGACCGCCACGCTGGTAGGACGCCTTTTTTTTGCGTGTGTGTGTGCATGTGCGGGGGTGGTGATCAGTACAGGCTTATCCTTAACAGTCGTTGCCCTTCCCTTCCGTTCAGGCGATCCTGGCAACTGGTACTCCAGCGATGAGGACGACGGCAGCAGCAGTGTCAGCTCCATCCTGAAGACACTGCGGCAGCAAAGTTCCAGCAGGCCCCATGAAGACACGCCGGGCGGCCCAGGCCTCGCCCCAGCCAGGAGCGACCCTCGCCTCCAGAAGAGCCAGGTGCCGGCAGGGGGCCGACCGGCTGACCCTCGCCTCCTGCGTGACCCCAGGCTCTCTCGGGGCTTGGAAACGACCGTTCCCTCTGGCGCTGGGGACACGGGGCCCAGTGACCCGAGACTGGCCCGGCACACGGCTTCGTCCGCCCCGAAGTCGGAAGCTCTGCACGCCAGCCCCACCGCCGGCCAGAAGGCGGTCACGACCCCGGAGGAGGAGGAAGGGGAGCGGGAGATCAGAGACAAGCCGGTCACCATCCCGCTGGACCCCCTGCCCAACCACACCCAGAGGGACCCTCGCTGCCAGCTGCAGCAGTTCAGCCACATCAAGAAGGACGTTGTCCTGATGGTGCCCCACTTTGCCCGCACGGTCCTTTGGAGTCCCGAGGACCTGATCCCGTTGCCTGTCCCGAAGCAGGAGCTCGTTCCTGTCCCGGCCGCCCTCCAGTCCTTGCCTGCCCTCGATCCGCGCCTGAACCGCCCGCAGAGCAGCAGTCTCTCCGACCCCAGGCAGCGGGCCGCGGCCCCAGCTGAAGCCCCGGCCAGCTCCGGCTCCGGCCTCCCGGACTTTGAGCTGCTCTCCAGGATACTGAAGACAGTCAACGCGGCCGGGAGCCCAGGACAGAGCGAGAAGCCCAGCGACCCCCGGATGCGGAAGGCCCCCGCCGACCCCAGGCTGCAGAAGGCCCCCGCTGAGCCCAGCACCCCGGCAGCAGCGCCCTCCAAGCCGGCCGACGCCAGCGCCCCGGCAGCCGGCCCCGTGGCCAGCTCTGAGGCGGCCCCCGGCATCGCTCCTTACGCCCCTCGGCTGCTGACGGCGGGAGGCTTGAGCAGGGGCAGCGGCCAGAGCAGCGTCCTGAGTGGGATAAGCCTCTACGACCCCCGGGCTCCGGGCTCCTCCGGCGGCAAGGCCACAGAGCCAGCTGGCGAGGGGAGCCCTGCCACCCGGGGCCCAGAGGGCAGCAAAAGCGGCCGAGGCAAGGAGCCCTTGTTTGTGCGTCGGTCAGCCCTGGATCAGCCCGAACCGGAGAAGCCCAGCACTGAACCTGCCACCGACCGGTACAACAGCTACAATCGGCCGCGGCCCAAGACAGCCGCCCCCGTGGCCGCCACGCCCACCCCGGAGACTGTCACGCAGCCTGGCGTTCACAACCTCCCCGTGCCCCCCGTCTACGGCATGGTGAAGCAAGCCGCCAAGTCTGGAGCAGGCAGCCCGTTTGCTGGGAACAGCCCCGCCCAGGAGGGGGAGCCGCAGGACGCTGGCTCTCTCAAGGATGTGTTCAAGGGCTTCGACCCCACGGCCTCCCCGTTCTGCCAGTAGTATTAAAAGACTCGCGCATCGTGCCGCCGCCTCGGACCAAGGGAAGCAGGCAGTGTTCATGATCTTTTTCTATTCCATTCATGCTCCCCTTTACCCCCCTCCCTTGTCTAGAAGCCCTTCAGGTTCTGCCTATTCCTGTCAGCAGTAATCTTCAAACTCTGCGGTGTAGAGAAGTGATCAGAGTACCTTGAGAGTAGTAGTAGTACCGGGCAGTGTTGTCTGATGCCCTGAGAGCGCCTTCTCAGTTCTATTTGAGGTCCACCTGAAATCATCCAGTGTCTTCAAATCTCTCTTGGGAAATTGGGCCAGCCTCCTTTTTGCACAGTGGGAGATCCCCCAAATCCATCGGAACCCCCCCCCCCAAAAAAATTCCCCGTTTCCCCTCTTTATGTATTGTCTGTGGGGCGGAGAGGAGACCGAAGAAAGAAACCCAGTTCCTGCCTGCCGCTCAGTGGGCGGAAGCAGACAAGCCGCGTGTCGCTCAGTAGAAGATAACCTGTGTTCATTTCTCAGCTATAACAAAATACATGTATCATAGCCTTTAAAGGAAAAATGGAGAAGTAACCATGTGGGATTATTTTTGTAAGTAATTGTGTTGGGTCTTGTTTTTCTGCCGTCTCCGGGAGGTCCCGGGGATTGCGACCCCCGCCTGGGCCCGGACAGGGTGCTCTGTGTCCGGAGGGGGGGTGGGGGTGGGCAGTGGCCCCTTTACAAAAGCAAAGCATTCTACCAAAAAAAAAAAAAGCATTTGTAGTATTGAAATTAAATTATTCCTGTCCCTCTGGTTTTACTTGTGTGTATTCTCCGCGCTTCCCCCTCCTCCCCCTCCTCCTCCTCCTCCTCACCGCAGGGGTGGTGGTGGCCCGGGCTGTGCTTGACGGATGACCTCTGGGGCAGGGGGCGTCGTCGTCACGGGCTGTTTCTGCAGAGGAGTCGGGTGAGCGGCGCAGCGCCTGCCCACTGAGTTGGCCTTGGGTGAGGGCGCAGGAGGCCGGACCCGTCTCGGGACTGGCCGTTCTGCCGGCGGAAGTGTGGCTGGAGGTAGAGTGGCAAGAGAGGCGCTGCCTGAAAGCAGCCCGGGGGTCAGAGGCAGAAGTGGGCATGAGAGGGAGAAGCAGCTCTCTGGGCAGCTGCTCTGGGACTGTGTCGTCCTTGTGTCCCCCCCCCCCACGCACACGGAGCCAGCATAGCCCATCCGTCAGGAGGATCCGGTCTCAGGAGGAGGAAGCCCGCGGCCTTGCCCTGCCCGGGCTGCCCCCGTGCCCCCAGGTTGTTCCGGCCTCCTTGGCTTCGGCTCTCCTTGGGCCAGTCTCTTTGAGCGGCTTCTTTTGCAAAGGACAGGGTCTCCTCAGCTGTGTGATGATGAGAGCAGGCGTCTTCCTTTTTCCTCTTCCCTTTCTGCCCTGGCCGTCATCTGGGAAGCAGCGCCCGCCAGCCACTTTCTCTCGTCGTTTGGCCGACTGGATACTGGCGCTCTTCCTGCCGTTCTTGCCGAGGGGAGGGAAGAGAAGGCACACCAGTTGTGGTGGTGGTGGTGGTGGTGGGGATAATCGGATGAAAAAGTATTTCACCATCAAGGTGTTAAGTGGTTTGAAAAGTGTTTCTTTCCGGAAGCCTTGGCTGCACCGGCTAGCCAGGCCTGAAGTCCCTTGCTCCCTTTTTGCCCACAGTGCCCCCTCCGGAGGGTGGGGGGGACCCAGGAAAGGGGGCGGAGTGTTCCCTCTGCTTCTGGGCCCCGCCCCCCAGGTGAGGGGCGGTTGAACAGAGCACCTTTCCCGCACTGCTGCGCTGCTCCCCAAAGAATGGATTCTGGCATTCCGTGTGATGCCGGTTTCAAAGACGTCGTTCTGTGTGTGAGATGGACGGAGCACGTCTGGACTGCGCAGGTCTGCGTGGCCGTGAGGGTATATCTGGGACGGAGTGGGACTCCTCCACTAGGCTCTTGCGGAAATCAAAATCACCCCACTCATCTCCACAATAAAAAAAGTATTGTGTGTTTGAAAAACAGCTCTGGGGTGGGTGGGGCTAGACGAGTGGGCGGTGGGTGCCCAGAGGGTCCAGCCGCTCCTTCCT